ACGAAACACGGCCGTTTATGACCATATATCATGCTACCACCATATGCCAGCTATGCTACTACTATATACTATACTACCACCATATGCTAGCCATGCCACAACATGCCAGTCATGCCGCGACCATATACTATACTACCACTATATGCCATGCTATACCACCACCATATACTAGCCATACTACCATATACCGTACGGCCTCGCACAAGTAACCGTCGTGCTAGTGGTCGTTGTCGTACGCTTCGAGGGGAGGGCTGTCGAGTACTTCAAGGGTAGTCGTAGTCGCAAAGGTAGGATAATCGGGTGGCCTCTGCACCGACGGCGTCGCGCTAGGTCTTAGCGTCACCTTAGTCCCGGCTATAGAGTACCCCGCCCGCCCTCCGCTACCTACTGCGTCGGCTAAACTTCGGGGGTCCGTAGACTTATAGCGCAAGTCTAATATATATAGAGATACAAAAATTAGGGCTAGTTGTTATATAAAATAAAGAGTAAATTAGAAAAGAAAAGAAATATTACGTTTTTTTTATAAAGAAAATATTATTTAAAGTATTTCTAGGCTTTATTTAAGATAATATCTATTAAGTAAGGTTCTTTATAAGTTTTCTAATATATATTTTTATTTTTATTTAAAGTTCTAAGTTTAAATATAGTTTATATACATATTTATATTAATTTAAAATCTATTTAAATTAAAATTTAGTTAAAGTTTAGTTTAAATTTAGTCTAACTTTAATCTAACTTCAATCTACCTTCTACTTAACTTTTACTCGACTTCTACTTAATTCTTACTTAACTTTTTAGTTAACTTTTATTTAACTTACTTTTAATTTATAATTTAACCTATTTTATACTATTAACTTAAGTTTAAAGTTACTTAAACTATATTTAATTATATTTAAATTATAATTTAAATCCAGTTAACTTATAGTTAACTATTTATAAGTAGGCATGTAAGTAGATCTAGTTTAAGGTTAAATACTATAGTAAGAGCTTATTTAGAGGGTTTAGTCTTTTATAAATCTAAATTAATTAAAATATAACGATTAAAGTTATTATATTTGTTATTATTAGAGTATACTTTATAATATCTATCTTCTAAGTTATTATCTAAAGAATATTCCTTAATTATAAATACTTTTTATTCTTTATAAGTTCATATAAACTATTTACTTTATTCCTACTTATTATAACTATTATAACTATTATAATAATTATCTCTTTAATAATTATCTTTATAATCTAGTTAAGACTAAAATCTTAATCCTTTACGAGGCTAGTCGGGCTCGTAGGCTTGCCTTCGTCGCTCTCTAATTACGTCCACTAGTCTCTTTATAAGTTAATTTAATAAATAAATATATATATCAATTTATTATTATATAATTAGGTTACGGGCACGCCTAGCTAGCTACGCTAGCTCGAGCGAACCCGCCGGCTTTTAAGTAGATGTTTTAGGTAAGGTTTTATACTTTAATAATAATAACTTACCTAATTAGAGACTTAAATAATAAGAAAAAAACGTACTTATAATATAGATTATATATTATAGCGCTAAGCGATATACCCCTAGTACCCTACTAAGATTCACGGTTATACTCGTCTAGCCTATACCATACTAGCTATAGATATTATATAAGTATAGTAAGAATACCGGAATATAGCTAGAGTACTTAGATTATTTATATCTAATCAATATATGTTTTAAATACAATTCTAGCTAGATATAGGCGCGAGAGTAGTAGTTTTAGCCTTATACGAAGCTCGAATACTCTTAGCTTAGTATCTTAGTATAACGTAACGTTACTCTTAGCCTACGTTTTACTCTCGGTATACTAGCCCTAAGCCTATACTCTACTAGCTATAGGTATCGTAATAGTGTTATAAGAATACTAGCATATAATCTAAATACTTAGGATATTTATACTCGATCTATATATATCTTGTATACGGTTCTAGCTAGATACGGGCGCGAGAGTAGTAGTTTTAGTACGACTCTTAGTATAGCTAGGTATAGCTATACGCCTTATATAGAGCTTAGATACTCTTCGCTTACGTTCTACGTTATACTCTCGGTATACTAGCTTATACTCTACTAGCTATAAATATTATAATAGTATCGCGAGAATACTAGAATATAGCCTAAATACTTAGCTTATTTATACTCGATTCGTATACGTTTTAAATAGGAGTCTAGCTAAATATAGGCGCTAGAGTAGTAGTTATACTACTACTCTTAGCTTTAGTATTCCTACGTAGGTACCTAGGTACCTAGTGAATATAAGGTACGGTTATACTTTAAAGGTAGTAATTAGAGAGTAATAACTTCTAAATTACATAACTCCCGCTATAATAATCGTACGCGGATTCTAAAACTATAGAATTATAGTATAATAACCTAATTTATTTATACTTTAATTACAAAAGTTTTAAATACGTTATAGGCTTAATATAACCTTATAAGTAGGATTACTCTTTTAGTATTCCTATATGTATAACTTATATAAGAGATAAAGAGCTGAGTTATTTTCCTTTTATATATACAAAGCGTCTAAACCATATACGATTTTTCTTACCTAGAAGTTCTAAATACTATTTTACTAGAATACCACTTAAACGAGAAGTTAGTTTTCTTTTTAAATTTAACTTTAACTTTAACTTTATTCTTATTATTCTAGATTTCCTATCACTTATTTTTAATAACTTTATATTATAGTTATGATCTACTAAGTAAGCTAGATAAACTATTAAATTATAACTTAGTTTTATTATTAAAACTAGATAAAAGCTATATTTAGATCTACTTAATCTTAAGTATTTAATATACCTAGCGGAAAAGTAAGGAAGGTTAAGAAAAAAGAAAAGGATTTTATTATTTTTTACCTAGGTTATTATTTCCTCATAAACCTATTTTACGAAAAGATTATTTATTTTTACTAGTGGTTTATTTTCTACTAGAAAAGGATTATTTACTACTTTTAATACTATTTCTATTTCTATTAGCTATCTTACTTAAGAAAACCTTTTAAATAAACTTTAAACTCTTAGTTATTAGTTTCTTAGTTAGTATATTTAGTATAAAGTTTTATAAATAAGAGATAAGGGTTCAGTCTAGTATTAAAGTAAGCGTTTAATCTTATAATCTAACTTTTAGAGGCTAAATACTTATTAATACTAAGGTATAATAGATTAAAAGTAATATTAATATTTATAAGAAATACTTATAACTTTATCTATAACTTAATTATAAAGCGTATGATAACGCTATAAAATAAGATACTATAAGAAGGGAGATTCTCTAGTATCTTATTCTAGAGCTAATAAAAACTAGATTCAAGAACGAATTAAAAATAAACTTAAGTCTTAAGTATTACTACTAAATATTAAAGATAAAGTAAAGTATAATATTTAGATATAGTTATATATAGTTATAGGCTAGAATCATATAACATTACTTATATACTATTACTTATAAGTTTTTACAACTATTCTCCTTTATTTTCCTCGACGTTTCTTAAATTTCTCTGCCTATTAATACCTCGCTAAACCCAACCTCTATATTGTTTGAAATATGTCTGGAGAAGAGGAAGGTCTGCTTAATACAGATTGAATGGTAGGAATGTATATGAGCTAACGAACTCAAATTACCAAAGAAGGTAATTATTATTGCCTAAGAACGTCTGGCGGAAGTCCTCCTCACTAGACGTTTAGTTTAAGATCAGTTACTTTGGAGTTAGCATCTGCAAAATATGCTAACGCTATAAAGCATTCCTACAAGGAAGTCAGTTTTTCACCTGCTTTCTTCTGCCGGTTATGCCCTTCGGTATTATCCACCGAGGAACTGACCCCAATCTACGTAAAATGTCTCAGGTTAGACACACACTATCGTAGTAACTTGTTGCTTGCTCACTCTGGAATAATGTCTTTTCATTTCTAGTAAGCAATACGTGCTTGAATACATGATGCTTACAATACGTCGATATACGGGCAACCTTCCTGATAACTTGTCTAAATTTGGCGAGTTCATGATACTTCCACCTCGAAGGAAAACACTCTCGTGCCCGTCAAATTTTATTTCATTAGCCTGGTGTTATGGAGCTACTTTTGAGTGACTCAAAGAGAGAGCAGCTACCAGACAACCTTCCCTTCGTGTTTTAACTTTACATTTTCATGTAAGATTTTATGGTTTGAGATGCAAACATCGTTCGAGTCATAAAGAAATTGAAAATAAATAAAGCATGCGGTGTTGCACAAGTTCTTTGTTACAACGACGCCGGTAGGTAGTTCCGACCTATCAAATAGAGATAGCTCTCTTTGATGGCGTCGTATCCTTAATTGTCATAAATTTCTACTACGTTCAGACCGACATCTATCATCTAGCAATTTTCATTATTGATCAAGAAAAACGCTCGGAATCAAAAGGTGCCCTGAAATTGAGATACAAGTTCCTGAGCAGGGATTGGCGAGACGGCCATATTGAGCGAATGGAGTAAGACGAAAACTTCTCAATCTGGTGAAGCAGCAAGGGCGAGTCTATCTCTGGATATTTGTAGAACTGAGATTTAGAGTTTGGGCGGCAACCTCCGTTTCAATCAGAGGGGCTGGCCACTATAAAGGGCGGGAGCTGTAAGGATATAAGGCACCTCCTCTATTTTCCCATCAGCGTCTTTCTGGTTCTAAAGAACAGTATCCGCCTACATTGTTCGGATCTGTCCAGGTTCATAGGCTGAAGAATTCGATGCAAGTGTCACTTGGCGCTGGAGTGAGCTGAGGTAGACTTTCAAAAGAACTTGCCAAGCCTCGACACTCGCTTAGTGAATGAAGGTCAAGTTTACGGTGCTAACTATTCACTTGGCATCGGTGAAAATCAGATCCCGGCACTGACCAAGAGTCTGTCAGGTCTGTCACAGACTTTTGAATCGTTTTTTCCTGGCCCTAAATAAGACGCCGTTATTGGAGCGCAATTTTTGATGGCATCTCCGACAATCGAATGCCAAACTTAGCCCATCATGGATGCAGCGATGACACCCTCACCATCAAGTCACTATAACAACCAAGCTTCACTTCCATCACAGAGCCTCCGCCTTAGTTCCCTTCTGGAAGAGGCCATCCTGGAAGACATCAATGGATATATATTTGGCGCCGTCGAGGGTTTCTACGATAAATACTTTGTGGAAAAGCCTTGGTCCAACCGTACCAAAATCATCTTGCAAGTACTAGATTTGAAGTTTCGAGATGGTCGTTGGACAGAATGCTACAAGTTGAAGACATATTCTGGGTTTTACAAATGGCTCTTGCGCTTTCAAGCGATCTTCTTGACTGGCCAAGATACCCAATACAAATATTCTAAGGCACCGTCTCATCATTTTGGTGGAAGCATAGTATTGTCACTACCGAATGAGAGTAGTTGGGCTAGTGTTCAAGTTATCGGAGAGTTTCGATCGGGTACTTACAAAGCGGGATTTCTGCGCCTTTGTGGACAAGCTCGGGAAGTATTCGCAAGCCAGCCTATCCGGAGATTTTTGCATGGATTCTACGTTATCGGGGATATGATGGAGCTTTGGGTATTCGACCGATCTGGATTGTACAGTTGTGACCCATTTGCAATTTCCCAACACCCAGATCAGCTCGTGAATGTCATGGCGGGATACTTTTTGATGAGCCACAAGGAGCGAGGTGGGAGCACTTTGATGCAAGAGGACATCAATGGAAATTACATCAAGTATCAACTCGACGCCAGCACAAGTATAGCGAACCTTTACTTGGACAGACAACCGATCGCATCTACATCCACGAAAGACAAGAACTTCATCAGTGATGGGTTGGTTTGCTACCGCGCACGCCACTCAAACTCGAATAAACTGGATCTTGTTGTCAAACTAAAGTGGCGACCAACTTGGGGATCTTTTGAGAAGCGGATATTGGATTTAATCAAAGAGAAGAAGGTTTGCGGTGTGTCTGAGCCAGTCTTCCACGGAGAATTCGATAGCACAAAGGATCTGCGAGGGGGCCTCGTTTTTGGATCTCGTTTGATGTTCTCGAATTATGACTCCAGGGGATCTAGCGCTACAGGCATTCTTAACTATACAGAAGAGGTGCAGTCTACGAGCTCTCAAGGCACAGAATTGGAATTCGCTGTACCATTCAAGAATAGTCTGTTCTGCTGCACAGTCGTTTCCCCAATTGGTCGTTCACTACATACTTTTGAGACAGTTTCTGAGCTTCTAGAGGCCTTTCGGGACGCCATAAAATGTCATCGATCCCTGTATCAGGATGGGAAGATACTTCATCAAGAAATTTCCGATGGTAATATCCTGATTTGTGATTCAAGTTCATCAAGCGATCCCAGGGGAGTACTCATCGACATGGAAGTGGTGAGAGAATTGAGAAAGATCGCAAAGAAGGGTGAGATAATTGGGGCTGGACGGTTCATGTCAATTGGAGAACTGACTGGCTCAACACACACCTATCGTCATGATCTTGAGTCTTTTCTGTATGTCCTTTTGTATGTGATCATTTGTGGGGGATCAGAGGAGCTACCGGAAACAAGCCGGTTGTGCGATTGGACTGAGGGAGACCAATTTCAGTTGGGTCAGATGAAACAGGTGGATATGCAACCAGAAGAATTTGAGAGCATTATTTCCGAATTTCCAGAGAACCTTAAGAATTTATCAGATCTGGCCAAGCATCTAAGACGGATTTTATTCCAAGGGACAACCGGCGGGTTGTGGACAGGGACAGATACGTCGGACGAGGGAACAAATGCGTTATATGAGAATACGATCCATGCATTCGAATCAGCCATAAATTCTACTGTAAATAGTTAACTATTCAGGGATCAATCAAAAGCGGAAACTCATAAAAATATGCTCTGGTCTTTTATGAGCATGGACATTTTCAAAGGGAATCACTTACATCACTAGTCAATCTGCTATGAAGATCTCTCATCTCCATTTACATTGAGGTACCAGGAGGCGCAGGGAATATATAGGCATTCAAATACAAAAACAAATAGAAGTTCCTCTGAATAGTTATTCAGTCTTTAGCCCAATGTGAAATGCCCTCTGTCTTCACCCAAGATAAAGTGACCACTTACAAGGCTACATGAACTGGGAAGAGGCTGAGATTCTATGGTATATCCGTCTCGTGGACACATTCAAGACTCTCCTGGTGTCTCTTTTTTCATAGCTTCCTCTGTGACATCTCCAACCACCAGAGCCCTGGGCCTTCTGATACCCCGACTACCAGAAGTCTTTCTTCTGTTTTCACCTTCAATCCAAGCCACATTCCGTACGTGGATCATTCAGCAAAAATTCCACTGCTGATAATCTACTTACTGTCGGTTTACGACTTTCACCATTCCAGATTTTCAAAAGGCAAGATGAATCAAAGTTTTTATCTTAGACCATTACGACTTTCTGGTCATTATGGAGTGCCGTAAACACTCCAATCATGGCTAGACATAATGTCTTACCAGAACTGAAAAAGGCATCGCAGGACACAGCGCCTTTCTTGAACACAGCCTTCTCCATAGCCTCAAGCTGGCATGATATTGAGCATTTCACCATCATATCGTGGGCATAAGGAGAGGAAGAAATTTGGTCACATTCATTCTGGGAAGAGTAAAGACCAGTTCAAATTATACGTTAGTTGTCTCGTCAGATATCAAAACAGACAGAAGGTCTGGAGATGTACACTTAAGTTTCAAAAGCAAGTTTCAAAAGCAAGTTTCAAAAGCAAGTTTCAAAAGAGAGTTTCAAAAGCAAGTTTCAAAAGCAAGTTTCAAAAGAGAGTTTCAAAAGCAAGTTTCAAGTTTGTTCAGAAGAGTAACGAAGACTTATTAGCTTAGGATGGGTTGTGGAACAATAGTAATCTGTGGGCTATGGATGTTTGAGTCATTATCCACAAAGATACTGAGGAAGAAGTGGCAGTTGAGCTAGTACCGTATAAGAACTATATAGAGTATAACAAGACTTATATCTAGCGATATATATGTACAGCTTGTATACACGGTACATTGTGATTCAGAGGCTTAGCCATATAGAGATTGTTACACAGGTAAAGTAATGCTAGCAAAGAAGGAGATATTCAGAAGAGTAGAAAGGTAGATTGGCGATAGGAGAGTGGACACCTATAGTAGTCAATCAGACAAGAATCTGTACTAAGTACTATACTTCAGTGCATAGGCTCACCCTTCTACAGTGAGGGAGTCGCAACTAACATGAACGCTCTCAAGGACAAAAGGAAATTCACTATCTGTAGGGGTACCAGCCACCTGGCTCTCGAGCCATACTTTTAGTACTTTGACATAACCCCTGCCCTACACGGTCTCGCTAAAATCACACTAACTACTCTTGTCACGCTCTCCCCTTAAGCTACTATTTTAGGATTCGCTTTAAACCCTGTCCTACTCCGTCTCGCTAAAATCATACTAACTACTCTTGTCACACTCCCCTCTTAAGTTACTGTTTTACTGTTCGACATAACCCCTGTCCTACTCCGTCTCGCTAAAAATGCGCTAGTGATTCTATTCATGCTCTCCTCTTAAGTTACTATTTTAGGATCCGCTTTAAACCCTATCCTACTCCGTCTCTCTAAATATGCGCTAGTGATTCTAGTCACGCTCTCTCTCAAGCTACAAACTGAGGGGTTCGGTATGACCCCTGCCCTACACCGTATCGCTAAAATTACGCTAACTACTCTTGTCACGCTTTCCTCTCAAGTTACTATTTTAGGATTCGTTTTAAACCCTGTCCTACTCTGTCTCTCTAAAATTACGCTAGTGATTTCAGTTACGCTCTCCTCTCAAACTACTATTTTAGGATTTCGGAATAACCCCTGTCCTACACCGTCTCGCTAAAAATGCACTAGTACAAGAAGGTCGCTTGGTCAGCCTGTAACTGGCTGGTGGAGGTCAGTACCTACCTAGTCATCTTAGAAAAGTGAACAACTGCTATCTCCACCTTATCCTCACTCGTTCTATTCACCTGACCCTCTTCACAATCACAATGTTATACTACTTACTATCTGTTAAATGTTTACATTAAGCACCTTAACATCACCGTTTAGTAATATAATGAAGTGCCGTGACGAGAACACAAACAGGCAACCTGAACCATGGGCAATTTGTCATCTTACTCATGACAACTTGTGTACGAATACTTATAGTCATGAAATCGCACTTTGCAAGCATGGAAGTGCTTCATTGGGGCTTGGTGAACTTACAATTCATTGAGAATTCAACTCAACTCTGAACTCTTTCATATAAAATCCGTGAATCAGCCCAAGTCTCCTCCCACTTACCACTCCCTAAACCCCTCCCACCCCACAAACTAAATCCCACGTTCCAAAGCACAGCCCCTGACCCACTAAAGCACGATGGTAAGCATAACTATCGAATCACAGTAACCACCATCACGATCTCAACTCCACTTCACAACTCCTTCCCATCCTCCCACCCACCTAGCCTTTACCTATGCAATCGATGTAGAGTAAGTTCGAAGAACATTTAGCTGGTGTTCACCTTCACGTTAGTAGACCTTGAAGTCTCTCAACTTTGTAACCCCCTCTCACTTCGGAATACAATAGTGTGGATCATATTTTTCAATATCCCCAAACCGTTAGCTAGCTAGCTATGCATCGACTACGTAGGTAATCAAGCCCCAATCCCATCTCCCATCTCCCATCTCCCATGCCCCATCAACCCAATCCTCATCCCAACCAACTACCCAAAAAAGTCCTCAACAGGTGAAATCCAAAACCAAGGCAACTCCACCCCTCAGACCCCCCTCCTCCCCATCGCCTCCCCCAAAACCCCCACAAACTCCTTCATCCCACCCCCTTGAATAATCTCCCTCCCCCTACTACCACCATCACCACCAACCTTCCAAAACCGACACTCTCCATCAACAAACCCCTTCCACTTGCCCAATCCCCCATCAGGAACGGTAAAAACATCCAATTCCTTGACTTTCCCCTCAATGCTCCACTTCCTCATAACTTGTTGGAGACTCGAACTAGTGCTCGCCCACAGATGAAGAGCTGGTCCATCAACACCAACTTCCTTCATCGCCTCAGCACCCGCGGCCTTGATAACTTCATCTAAACACACGCTTTCTGGGTCTTGGATCGGAGGATGTAGTTTATTCAAAATGGCTTTCACGTTTTCGGGGGTGAGGAGACCGAAGGAGGTTGCGATGTGACATAGTTTATGTGCGTAATCTTGTTTGCCGACGATATCAGTAGCGAGCGGCGGGCGAGGCGGAAGAGGAGGAGAAATAAAGGCAAGGAATTGGACGTTCTTGAGGCGCTTGGATAGTTCGTAAGCGAGGATAGAGCCCGAGGAGAGACCGGTCAGAGCATATGGGCCGTGCGGTTGGATGGACGTGAGAGCTTTGTGGTAAGTTGTTAAAAGGGCAGGCAGAGGGGGGAAGGGGCTGTTGGGGTTGGGGTTGAGGTTGAGGTGGAGGATGTGGATTGGTCGGTTGGTGCTGTGGGATGTGTTAGTATGTGGTCTTGTACCAATGAGCTTGCCAGCCCTTACAGGGAGGGAGTGGACGAATGTCATCGTTTGGGGTTAAAACTCACATTAATCTCGCTAAACCAATAAAGGAATAAACATCACCCAACTCATCATGCACAAACCAAAGCGGAGTCTTCTCCCCCGTCAACCGAAGCGTGGCAACAGGAGAATACACATAATCCCCTGTACTGATACAATTTGCAAGTTCCCTGACTGTCGGATTCGCAAACAACGTCCGGACAGAAAAATCAGGCATCTTCAATCGAGTCTGTAGCGCAAACTTGAACTTCATAATTTCAAAGGATGTAAGTCCCAGGTCAAAAAGTGGTGTACCAGGGTCCAGAAGCTCGTTGGTCGGCTTGATAGATAACATCGAGCTACCTGGTGGAAAAACATCTAGAAAGATCCCGAGAATGGTTTGTTCCAAGTGTGTCGCTCCGAACTCGTTCTTGATTCCCAGTTGAAATTGCATCTTGATTGAATTTGCCAGATTCATATCTGCGCTTTTGCAGGTAGTATAGGCTCCTTTCTCGAAAGCTAAGCGGGTTTTGGGACGAGAGAGTTTTCCTATAGCGGTGCGTTGAAGCTGGTGCTCTTCTATTGGGATGACTTTGCATGGTCGGACCCCAAAAAATCGAATAACGGCCTGTGAAATGGCGGCCGACGTTGTAAGTCGAAGGTTCGTGTCGACGGCTGCATTAAAAATTGGTCGATAGACGATGTAAATTGAATCAGTGTTAAAGTCGGATTGACGATGCGGGAATGCAATAAGACGAGAAGACATGATACCGTAAATTTTCGTTGACAAGATGGCATTCTCAATAGCTACTGGAGAAAGTTTCATTCTATTCATATTAAAAATTGCATTGCGTTCGCAAGAAGTAGAGAGGCTTACCCATTAATACGCATATAATCATCATGTCGCCCCGTAATCTAAGATCAAGAAACCGAGGTCAGCTTTAGTTGATTGCATGGAAGATAATGATGTTGTGGCTAAAAGTCTCGAAATAGCATCCCGTAAGTGAGCAGAATTACTTGTTTTGAAACACCGGGATGCTTCTCTTAGTTAAGACGAATTTCAATTCCTTGCGATAATTTATGGTAAGATGACTTACATAGAGAGCGCCACTGTTGTCAAAATAGCCCATTTCACCAGTCTTGTACCATCCGTCCCTACTGAATGCTTTCACCGTAGCAGCTATGTCATTGAAATATCTTGAAAATACTGCTGGTCCAGATAGCTCTAAATGGCCGGTTTCGTTTTTTTCGATAGCACCGCCGCCATCAGCCACAACTCTAACACTCACTGCACTTGTCGGGAATCCAACTGAGCACCATTGTTTCCTATTTTTGATATCTGACGCAGGGCAATCAAAGCTATAGAGAGCTCCACCACAAGTCCCCGGGAAAGCTAATGACGGTCGAAGGAAGGATTTTGGAGCGCCAAACTTTTGTAATAAGGCCGTAAAACGAACACAGGTCTCCGTGATATTGATTTTATCGCATCCTGAGAAGAATCCTTTCAGGCATGATAAATCGAAGCGCTTGCTAAAGTTGTCCTTATCCGTGGCTTGATGTGTCTTGACTTCCGCTTCAAATTCTTGACAAATATCCCAAATAAAGAAGTTGGGTGCAAAGGTGTATGAAGCTTTGTAATAACTTAGTTTATCGAGTAGTTTCGATGGCGTAAGTAGCAATGTCTGCGAAACATGTACTTGAGAAGCTGTAAGTCGAGTAGCATGTAAATGAGTGTCAAAGAGGTTGGCAATATGATCCAAAGTATTCAAATTGAGGAAAATATCCCGCGATGTTGTCGAATGTAGTTGGATCTTTGCGTCCAGAGAAGCCATTACGTTTTCGTGTGTAATATGCATGGCTTTCATGTCACCAGTCAACATTAAGATCGCGAGATCGGAAGCTTCCTTGAGAAGACCTTTGCTGAATTCATTGGTGAGAGGACGTAAATGAGCATCGATCTTTTCAGTAGCAAAAATGCGGACTTGAGGAATATCCGATAATTGGGTGATCAGCTCACTATTCGTGATAATGAGTGGATTCCCAAGAAGCTTGAGCAAAGAGCGGATATAGGACTTTCGTTCATCGAGATTCAATACTTGAGTCAAAATACAAGGCACTCCCCCCGCAGCGACAATAGCCCAAAACCAGGAAATGCTCTCCTCATGATCAGATGTATGGAGAAGCACAATCGAGTTTCTGGTCAAAGCAGCACTTGAAGACAAAGTGTGTCCTCTTACAAGCGACTTTTTGTATAGTGTAGCGTATGTGACGAGGGAAATGCTCTTAGCCGCTCGCGGATTGTCATATTCGAGGGTAAGTCCTCTATTGGCACCCTTCTCAGCAGCCTCTCGTAACATCCACAACAAGTTTTTTGGCGCCATTTGAGATGTAGTGTCTGGGTCGTTGAAAGGGTGCGAGAATGCAACCAACAAAAGAGTTCATCATGGCCCACGAAGTTGGGTAGTTGATAAGTCTTTCCAATCCAAGGGTACTGGATAGGGAAGCTTTAGCCTTGGCGTTTGATTGGAGGCGGTCATTTTGGAACGCATGGTATGGTACTCATGAACTTAGCAAATCTATTAGCAATCCCTCGGTGAATCATTGTTTTGCCAGCAGGGCACTTGACGCCGAAGTCCGGGGACATATGAGTGAAGTGGATGGTGTTTTACTGAGGAGTGGAACTCCTTCAATTAGAAAAAACCACATCAGCTGAGCAAATGGAAGGATATATACATGGAGGCTCCTAGATATAGGCAAGCGAGAAGAAGCGACTGGTTTCCAAGCTTGAGGACGCGTAAGTACGGTTTGCAGGCTGATCAAGCAATAGCTAAATCACCTCAGATGTAGAGAATGGCTAACACACGGCAAAGACTGCAAAATGATCAGAATGGCAGAGTAGCCAGACTGTGTTCCCCCCGCTCCTCCCACCGCCACTTGTCCCCATGTGGTGAGGTGTAGTGGCCGCGTAGGCACCAACTACCCTGGCAGAGAGCGAGAGAGAGGCTCCAGGTGATATGTTACAACACGCCCCGCACAACTCCTTGCACGGACTCCAAACCAAACATGATCGACGGACATGCAGGTACATCACCTATCAGACGTTTGAGGATACCAGTAGCGAGCGTACAAAATCAGGATTAGTTCCATCGAGAGTCTCAGCATCGCTATCAACTACCCCAACACAAGCGGCAGGTGGTTGAGGTGGGAGGAATACGCGCATCACATCTTCTTGGCAGAGCATGCACAGGAACTAGACGTGAATGGCATCGGCTTTCTTACTGATGGTACTTTGAGAGAGTAGTGGTGCCTCATGGGCTTGAGAGAAATGCTGCAAATCGGACTCAAAGACTGAATGCGCTCGCTAACAGACCTTTACCACATCCCAGGCATGATAAATGTAACTTTGAGGGGTTTTTTACCCTACACTTCACTTATGCTAGCTAGCCCGTAAGAGTTGCAATTCTTATGCCTGGAACGAAGTAAAAATACCAGAGACGAGAGCGGGTTTCATGGGGAAAATCCAGCGAAGATGAACAAATTCCAGTAAAAGCAATGCAATAAAAAACTTGGCATGACAATATGGAAAATAGTAGGAACCGTGCTGAGCTGTATTGACGTTCGTCTGCAGGAGGGGGAATCGGGAATCTGAAATTTGCGTGTGCCATTTCAATTTTGGGTTGGATGAGGATCAAGGAAAGTGGAAATGGGAGCCGACGTGGAACTTGAACTGAAAACAATATACATATATATATATATCTCTCTCTCCTTCAGTGACTACGGTCGCCTGCTAGAGAAGAGACCGCCTCGCGATACCATGCGTGCACATATTACATTGCAGCCAGTATCGATATAGGTATCCTTTAGTTATGGTGTGGCGATAGATTTGACGAGGTTGTCAAAATATCCGTACTCGTAGGTGTATGAGTTTGGTAGGAGTGACAGTAGTTGACATCTGGAGACGAGATGTCGTTGGATTCCACCTGCACACCAGCCACTGTGGCTGAGCACGGCATAGCTCGCTGGCTCTCTGTCACAGCTCCAGCACACAGACCCTGAACGGCGCTTGCCCCACATGGATCTCGAGTCCACACCCACGGGAGAGCCTCACCAGACCCCGCTGGACAAGATAAGTGGCAGTCTTGGCACTGGCGCATCCGAGCCACCTACCTCAAAAACACTAGAAAACGTACCTAAATTAGTTACTCAATAAGGTACGATTCTTACTTAAAATAGTATGTAATTAAATTAATAGCTAGTTATTTGGCCCTTTATATCTATATAATCTTAGAGCCTTTAAGGTATCTCCTCTACCTACTGTCACGAATCACGTGCGTAGCATGTGATAAGTGAAGAAACAGGCGGCGTCCTGACGGGTTAAAGCACCATCACACACTCTTATAGCAAATAGGGATGCTTAGGCTAGCTAAGCGATCCAGGGATTTCTTAGCATCTGTATCACGTGACCAGTTTTGATCGCTGGGTCGCGAGCGACTGCAACGACCAGGTCGTCTTGGTCGCGGCGACCATCGACGATCATGAGAACGAAGGTTCTATATAAGACTGGCACGTCTGCCATTTAGATAGGAGCTTCGTGCTCAACTTAGTTATCAATCTTATCATATTAGTTTGACATCTTTGATACAAGTAACGAGTTCACTTCCAAGTGAACAACCCGATAGTCTTCTTCTTATCATA